ATATACTTTTTAAATTCTTTTTATCCCGAAACATTATTAAAAAGGTGATGAAATCAAAATTGCCTCTAGTTAATTAAAGTCCTTCTTTTCTTCCTGTGTATTTTTTCTTTTCGTGTATATCTTGAAGATTCCATTGTAAAATGTAAAGTTAACAAATGTTTTTCCCCTCCGCATAAATCTCTTTGTTTCGCATTAAGAAACAAAAAAATAAGTATATATAAAATAAAAAAGCTACACGCTATAAAGTTAAAAAAAAATTCAATTGTTTTACGAATCGGAGGCGGCGTGAAATATGCGAAGATAAGAAAACGAAACAAACAAAAAATATTGCAAACATCATTATTTACAAAAGCAAAAAGAAAATCTGAAAAAAAACAAAACAAAATGTTTTCATGCTTTGTCTAAATAAATCCCTGTGACGTTGACTCCTATTTTTTCAAAAACTCCCCCTCTATGAAATTGGTGTTTAACTTTTTGTCTATTTCCCTTTTTGCTGCAGTGCAGTGCAACGCATTGTTGCAGTTGTCTGTCTAACTTATCAAGATTTTTATAAAAGCAACAAAACAGCAACATACCATGGGGATATCTATTGCCAGACTTGGCGATATCGACAGCAACAAACAAACAATAACACCAGCAACAACAACACCAACAACTGACATATCTACTATTGACATGTGCTTTTAGTAAAAACGATATGAATGATGACGTTTACTTCATAACCGTTTTTGCCATTGTGTAAGACATCCACTTTGTTGTTGTTGTTGTTATGGCTGTTGATTTTTGACAATTTCTGGTTGTTAAGGTTACATTAATAACTCATCCCAACACTCCCTCTTTCATTGGAGGTGGTGTTTGGTTGGTTGGTATTTGATGTCTGATATTTGGCAATAGGTTTTTGCTGAACTTTTTTCTCCAATGTTGACTGATGGCTAAAGTTTGATCTTTAATCTTTTTTCAATTTTTTATACCATTCCTCTCTGGGTCTTTCTGCCTGTATATATCTGTATTTCCCCCCAAAAAGTTCATGTGATAATTAATTTGATTTGGAAATAAGTGTAGAGGTACTTCGAAGACACGTTCTCCATCTTTCTACCGACAGATGGAGCCGTTGATAATGTCTTGGCTGGTTGTCTGCTGATTGAGTTGCCAAACAAACTGACAACATAAATGGGTGGATATTGCCATTTGTTTGTTTTCCTGACCTTAGGGTTGTCATCAATAAAAATTAATGATATACCTATTGTAAAGAAGAAGAGGAAAACAATCCTAAGCGAATATTTTGCAACAAGTGTGAGAAGTTGATAGATTACAAATATATAAGAGGAAAGCTTATGTAACAATTGGAATTGCCAAAATTATTTAAAATCAGCTATAGGAGGCGTATAGACATTTTGGGTTTTTATTATGAAATGGAGTTGTAAAATAAACACCAATTAATAAATAAAACTAGAGTTTAAAAATTTCGGAGGAAATCATAAGTATTGTATAAACAGCCTCAGTCTTACGGCTATTGAAGGTATATACTCATATGGCAAAAATGTGCCTAATCGAAATATTGGTTTAAGTCCAATATTTGCACAAAATCCGTTCCAGACAATTTGAAGTCGATTTAGAAATGTCCCTCGGTCCGTCTGTATAGGCGGCTGGTGTGCACGATAACTCTAGAAGGGAGTAACAGATTTCATGGAAACTTTGCACATTACAATATTTCTTCCAAACTTAGTTCAAATTCGAATATTGAGAATGTGGGTCCATTCCTCCCACAAAATGGTCTAAATTATGCTAAAAATATCATGTGAACGGACTATCCGATTTAAACCAAACCTATTATATTTGCCAAGTTTAGATCAGGTCAGAAGATGGTAGCCATTGGTCTTCTCCTTCCCCCATAAATGGTCGACGTTTTCAATATTTTTTAATCCATTACAAGACGAATGGAATGCTCGATTTGAACGAAACGTTTTAGAACATTTTATCTTTACCAAGCCTATATCAAGTCCGGAGATGGGACCCATTCTTTCTGGTACCTCCCCAAATTCCAATATTTTTAAATCCAATATCAAGCGAATAGAATGTCCAATGGGACCAAACTTCGCACTACCTACATCAAGTCCGAAGAGGGAACCCATTGGTTCACTCCTTCCGGTACCTCCCCACAAATGATCACAATTTCAGTATTTATAAATCCAATATCAGGCGAATGTCAGTTTGGAGCCAAACTTTTTAAAACCTTTTATCTTTACCAAACCTGTATAAAGTCGGAAAATGTGGCCCATTGGTACACTTCTTGTGGTACCTCCTGCATACCATGTATGCAGGAGGTTACCTGTCGGCAACACCGACTCTCACTTTTTTATTTTATTATTGTTATTTTAAATTTTTGCCTGTCCAACCCATGCTTCGACCTAGGTTCCCAGAGCATCAGACCACTTAGCTTTCTGAACTCAATATGCCAAATTTAAAAAAATAACAGGATCCAAAAAATAATTCCTAAAAAAAATATTCTATACATAAGTGGTCGAAAATAACCTCAAAGTCGGATAGACCTCTCAATTATATGAAATTATTAATTCTTGAGCACGGATGAAAAGAAGACATTTTACCTATCATATATGAACGGGAAAACTTCCACAAAAAGTGGAAATTGTTTTCAGTATGTCTCCAAAAAGTCTGTCATAAAGAGAACAAGTACCTCAATGTTTTTTTGTAGGTCTCCAAAAAGTCGGTCATATAGAGATCAAGTACTTCGAGTCTTCTACATGTAAAAGAAAACCTTTAAAAATCCCCTGTCCCTAGAAAACCTATAGAAGTCCTATTAAAGACTTCGGCCTATAAAAACCTGCCGAAGGTCTTTTCTATAGAATACCTATAAAGATCTTCTGTAGAAGAGCTGTGTAAGGTCCACAGCGCTTAAAAGCCTTCAGAAAAATCTTTTGTCTATCTGAAAGTTATCTATAATAGAGCTGTTCTAGGGGTGAATACGTGTATAAGGTCTTCCCTCTATAGAAATATTTAAGAATACATCTGTCTTTGCTGATTGGTCTATCGAAAATTCATATTGACTGAAGAGGTCCGTCCATTTCCACTTCCTTGACAAAATTATCACATATAATGCTCGGAAAATCCAACAGATTTTATTAAGAAGCCTCACTATCCTCAAAGGGTGACTGTTTCGTGTGGTTTATGTTCCTGCTGGATCATTAGGTGCTCAAAATAGCCACCGAGATCTTGCAACTTCTTCCTTTGTGAACACGTGAAATATAGGGTCTCGGTCCAGCCCAACATCGACTACTGACCTCAATTATGGAATTCGTAAGGAAAGTGTGTTCCTGGCGGCCATTTGACAGAAACAAATACTGATCGGATCATTTATCTAAAAAAAATAAAATTTTCTTTGAATTCGAAAACACATATTTTTAGAATAACCTGTGAAAGGTCTTCTGTCTGTGGAAGTCCTATAGAAGGTCTGTAGTCCCCAGATTAATATTGAATTTTGTATTTCTTTCTTCCTTGCATTCAACTTTATACATTTGTTGTGTTTGTTTCTTATTATTCCTACCCTTCCCTTTTTTAATCTGGAATATCGTCAATGTTTTTTCATCTTTTCTTCCTTTTTTGTTATCTCCACGTCACGTTTTTCTTGCCAACATTATTTTTAATATTCTAATACCGTTGTCTATCTAATAAGATTTATTCCAATTTAATCCAATTAAATTTATAACTAAAATTTCGTTATAACTTTGACCCTTTTTGAAAGATATTTATCTGCAGAAATAAAGAGGAAAACTTCATTTTGCCAACTTTGTAGGCAATTTTCAAAATAATTGCCAGCCTGCCATCTCCACACTTTTGACTAGACTTCAAATAAAATGCGTGGCCCTTGCAACTTTTAGAACTATTGAATAGCAGTGTTGGAGTTTAAGTGGGGGATTCATTCAGTAGAATGATTCTGATGGCGATGATAGAAGAGGATGCTAAACAATTGCTGAAGCTAGAAACAGAACACTGATCATGTTGATGATGGTGCTGGTTTAGGATAATCTATTATGTGAAGTTATGTTTATGTTGTTGTTTTTTTTTTCCCATTAACTCTTCATGATGGTTTTTTGTTCCTATTGTTACTATTATATAAATATGTGGGTTGTGTCTGGAAAATAATCATAAAAATGGTTTATGCGTAGATCTCCGTCCATTCATTTTTGTTGTTGTTGTTACTATTATTATTACTGGTAATTCGTTATAAAACTCTAAAATTAAATGTAATTGTTTAGAGGCGTTAATGTGTCTCTCCCATCCAATTATGTGTGGCAGCCACGGAGCAATGGTGATGATGGCGGTGTCGTCTCGGGGTCGCTTGTTGCATTGCGTTGTGTTTTATTTTTTAGTTTAGAGTTCCGCCTTCCCCATTCGTTCGATTATTTAGACATAGTCAGAGAATACATGAATGGAGTACGTGTACTAAGGAACGGTTCATTATGGATTACAGTAATTTTTCACTGCTAACAATAAAGCCCACACTCTAAATGAGTTTTGTTGTTGTTGTTTTGGTTTTCGGTTAGTCCAGATGTATTCTGTGTGCAGGAAAACATGCAAATGAAAATGATCATCTCAAATAACAACAATGAAATGAAATTTTGTATGATGTTCCGTTTGGTGAATTTCCACTTCATTACCACCGGAGTATTGGACAAATGAAAATTTCTTTATAAAAAGTTCGTTCCACTTTCTATTTGTGTAGTTTGTGTATTTTTTGTAATATTTTTGCTTTCCTAATGCAATTTTTTGTTATTTTCAAGACAAAAATCACATTTTGATTCAAATAATACTAACATCATTATCATCATCAACTGCAACACAATTCACACTACTATAAAATTAATGCATTAATTTTCACTTCAGCGACTTTATAACTCTCCCCATCACCCTCCCCCTCCCCCTCCTCTCCAAAACAAAACTTCACCATAACTAATGTAATTTTTATTGTTGCTTCTTTCCAGGTGTTATACCATGAAATAGTATCACATGCTCGAATAGTAAGTGCCTGTATTAGAGCAGCCTCCGAAAAGGAACAGCAACAACAACAGAAACAGCAATTACAATTGCAACAACAGCAGCAGCAACAACAACTGCACCAAGATTCCGATGTCAGTTTAATTGCGGAACAAACAAATTCGTCACTATCTTCTACTGACGATACGGCCACCACTTCATCGGGTATTGTCTGCTGTTCCACTGAGTCCAACAAATTACTCTCAACACCAACTGGTACAAATTTAGCCAACAACAGCAATTCATCAAATATTACCTCAGCCACAACGAGCACATCCCATTCCCGTAAATCGGAACTAAGTTTGGAACGCTTACAAAATCGCTATCATCTCTTATATTTAAAAGCATTTGAGGTCCAATTGTGGCTGGACGGTTTGCTGAGAAAGAAAAGTTCATCGGTGGTAAGTTCAGAAATTATTATTTTAAAATTAATATTAAGGTCCGCTGATTTGTATTGGATAGGATTTTCTGAATAAAAATTTAAATATGAGGTACCCAAATTTCAATAATATATGTATTTCGAAAATCTCAAATTTATAAAATTCTCAAAATGATATGGACGGTTTGAGATCTTAAAAAAAATATGTTTATAGAATATTTGAACTGTCTATAGATGTTTTTTGCTATTTTATTGGACCATTGACATTTTTCAAAATTGTATTTTGACCAAATTTATATTTGACTAATTTCCCTACGAACCCGTCCATTGCCAGAAGCTCGTAACTGGTGACATATGAGGTTATGGTAATGATATTACACAAGGGATACCGGATTCCATTTCACAAAAAGCTGGACATAAAAAATTCGCCATTAAGTGGGCATTCAAAATTCACGTAAAATCAATGGGAACGTTTGGTAATTAGTTAGTAGGAAGAGCTCACACTTCTTTAAATACCAAAATTTAGGAGGCATAAATTTATATTTTATTTTTAATACCAAACATCGTAGGCAATTTTTGTGCCAAATTTTAAACTCTATCTTAAATATTGCGAGCTTTATCAGGGATGTGTAAATCGGCATAACATTTTAATCTGATGAAGAATTTTTGGTATCATGGAATATATCGAGATTTTACAATTGGAATGACTCCACATTATATTGGAAGGTATAAAAAAATTGCATTCAGCGATGGTTAAAATGATAGGAACAATGAAAACCATTGTTCAAGCCATTCCAGTGACCAAAAATACTGGACAATATAGCTATTCCAGTGACCAAAAATGCTGGACAATCCAGCCAGGCTGGCAACTCTAAATTGCACCTGATACACAGTCATGCCAATGATCAATGAATGATTGTATGCATGAATGTAACAGAATTTGGTGTAAAGAAATTCGATATATTCTTAAGGTATTTCCCCCTATGGCTTTATTTTCCCATGTGACCCATGAATGCACGACACTTCGATTCAATTTATGAGGTTAATTGAAACTGCATCAAAAAAGAACTGCACAAGATCCAGTTGACGCCATTTATAATTTTCTTTGCAATGTTTAACATTTTATAGTATAGACGTACTCAGTACAGTTTGACGCACGAACATGTGTTGTGATGTCCACAGTTCAAAAACATTTTCACGCGATCATTTTTTACCGACCAAATCGTAAAATTTATTGGTCATCCGCCATAAAGCCCTGACTTGAATCGAGTGATCGTATGGATGAATATAACAGAAATTAGTGTAAAGCAATTCGCTGTATTGTCCAGGACTGTTCCCCAATGGCGCCATCTGGAAAACTTCATTAAAAAGTACTGGATATCCAGCTGTAGCCATCTGGCATTTTCTTTGGAATGTTTAACATTTTATAGCATAGACATGCTCAGTACAGTTTGACGTACGAACATGTGTTGTGTTATTTCATAGTAACTTGAAATATTAATTAGAAATTAAACTAATAGTTAAACTAATTGGTCATCCGCCGTAAAGCCCTGACTTAAATGATGTATATAAAACATAGATTGGTGTCAAGTAATTCGCGGAATTATCCAGGACTGTCCCCCTATGGTTTTATATTATCATGTGAAATATGAATACACGACACTTCGATTCAACGGATGAAATGAAAACTGGATCAAAACAATAGTTGGACAAGTTACAGATGTCGCAATCGGGAATTTTCTTTGGAATGATTAACCTTTTATAGCATAAACGTGATCAGTAAAATTGATTTAGCGAACATGTGTTGTGAAAAAACAATAAATTGGCACTATATATTTTCAAAATCCATGTTTTGGAGGTGTCGAAGTGTAAGTCGTGCTTCGTCATTTGGCTTCAACGCATAAAAATCCGGTGGGAGAATCTTTTGAAAAAAATAGTAAAATAATTTGTTGATCATAAATGTTCGTATTTTCATTAATAATTTTCTAGTTCCAATTTATTAAAACGATTTTTGTGGTTCTTTTAACTTTCTAATCATTACCCGATCATCGGTTCACGGTCAATATTTCCTAGCATTACACATTTTTTAACAAATAATGTAGGAAATGCATCCTTGAAAGAGGTACACCAGTGGTCACTCAAAAAAATATTCCCAACTAAAGTAGAAGGAAAATGGTCAATAGATGACGTATATGCCTTCAATTGAGTAAAAGTGCAAACATTTGGCAAACATATGTAAAAACATTTTAGATACATTAACCGATTACAATCAATTTCTTTTTGGCTGGCTGCTTGGCCCTGCTGTGAATGAATGGTGGTCTGTATAAAAAATGGCAGACTGGCTGATCATTCAGTCAGCTACCTCTTAACTATCAGCTGTTATATTTTGCATAGACATAAAATAGAAGAAAATAACATTTTCCTTCTGATACTGCTGTTGTTGTTTGCAACTCTCAACATAAGTGTACAATGTCTTGTTGTTGCTGCTGTTTATTGAAGAAACGCCAAAATAACTCTGTGCAAAATAATAAACTTTATAGTTCAAAGATATTTTTCCCTTTTGCCACTGTTATGGGGTTAATGTTTTGGGTTCATAAATTACAAGAAACAATAACATGGACACCGTTTGCTAAAATGGGCAACTACCACAACTAATTGTGTTTATTTGTTGTTTCAATACAAAATTTTGATTGGAGGAAAATTGAATTGATGTTGCCATTGATGCAATTGCTTGTGCGATTAGTCAATCTAAACAGGAAGAAGTGTGGGGAGGATAATTCACTACAAATGTTTAGAAAATAAACAAATGTTTATGCAAATGTTATGGCTATATTTACAAGATATCAATGTCCTGCAACATGTTTGAGAATGATTGCCCGGCCTTTGATGGGCGCTTATTTACATGGATATTTTAAACGGAGGAACTAGTGGAATTATCAATCAATTTTGGTGGCATTTAAAAAACATATTCGGAAGAAGCAGATATTAACAATAAAAATATTAACATATAAAATTCAATAGATTTGTATAACAAATATGTTGACAAAAAATGCAAACAAATGTATTCCCATTTTTAGAAACGAAGTAAATTGGGTCCCCTAGTACCCATAAGAATAAGTTCCCCACATTTTGTTCCACGGTATACTGCAACATTGACATTGTATGTAAATATACAAACACCATCCGGCCTTTGGTGGGACATCTGACAACCTCTCAGTATCTTTGTCGGAGCAGCAGTCAACTGTCCAGACTCTGTCACCATAGTCAGTCATTACAAAACTTTACACTGTTTGATCTGTCCATCTAAACAACAAAATGACTACATGTCCATTGTCACCTTTTATGGCTGTAACAGAAAATATTTGCCTATGAGTTGGAGTGTGTGTCAGAGCGTCGTGTATACATTGTTGCAACTCGTATGTTTTCAGTTTTCCTCAAATGTTTTTTTTTTTTCTTTTCAATGTCCATAATGTGCGTGTGTGTGTTCGATTTTCAAGTTCAAGTTTGTAATTTATCTTTTCAGCTGTCGTTTCTGTCGGAGTGTTAATATAAAGTGAAATGATTTCCCTTTTTCCATTTTCAATATGATACTTTAAAAAAAATATGGAAAATAAAATTAGTTATTTGAAAGCGGAAATGTACTGGTTCAGGAAATCATAGGATGCACGATAACTCTCAAAGGGAGTAATCGATTTCATCCAAACTTTGTACATCGTAATATTTCTTCCAAACTTAGTTCAAGTTCGAAAATGGGGCATCTCGGTACACTCCTTCAGGAACCTACCACACAAAATGGTCAAAAATTTTCAAAAAAATATATATAATTTAATATCATGTGAACGGACTATTCGTTTTGAATCAAACTTTGTACAACCTATAATTTTACCAAGCCTATATCAAGTCCGAAGATGGGACCCTTTCACTTCACTTGTGATACCTCCCACAAAAAGGGTCCATATTTTATAAACTTGTAAATTTAATTTGAAGCTAATTGAACGACCGATTTGATACAAATTAAATCCGAATCCTCTTTGATAAAAACATATACCATATGTAAAGAGAATAATAAAAACTATGTGTAATTCCGAAGACCTCCGGAGCAGCCCTCGTACTCAGCATTTTCATCACAACGGGAACTCAGTTTTAAATTTAACGATGTACCAGAATAAATTTATCTATCCAGTCCATATTTGTAAAAATATTATGATATGGAAAATTTTGGTTTCAAAATGTTGAAACTTTGTAGGGAAGGAGTGTCCCGATAGGTTTCGTTTTTGAATATGACCAATGTTTGGTAAAAACAAGTGAAAACGATGTTAAGTTCGGCCGGGCCGAAAATTGTATACACTTCAACATTTTGTGCAGTTAGATTTGACACCCAATGAGAATACAAAATACCATATCCAATACCGAATATTGGAATATATCCCATTTTAAATATCTGTGCAAAATTTCATAACTTTATCCTAAATATTCCGATCTCTATCGTAATTTCAACTGACAGGCAGACATGCGTAAATCGACATAGAATTATATTCTATGTGTTGCAAACGGAACAACAAGTTTAATATAAACTCTACCTTATGCCGGAGGGCATAAAAATTTCGAATGGAATCGATACTCCTTACACATGATATTGGATATGTATTTTTTCTTAAAAATGTTGAATATTTTGTGGTGGAGGTGTCCGAAAAGTTATCCGATAGTCTCCATCTTCGAACGTAATTTAGATTTGAAAGGAATGTTAATATTCTCCAAATAATGGACAGGAAATTCTTCACTAAAAATTATGAATATTGACGCATTTCGTGTTAGAAACCTTATAATAGCATACCTTTTTATTGGAATAGTTTAAATTATCTATTTAATTTGTTCCCATGTAGCTCCCATAAAAAGCAGTCCTTATTATACTCTCCACTATGATATGGAGGAATTCGAGTTATTTTTTTTTCCTTCCCAGACCAGACTCCAGTAAAATTATCCGACTTCGTCTTGAAAACATCGGCTCCGCAACCTGGTTAC